TTAACCCTTTACTTAAGGTACTTCATGCGTCCATTCTCACAGTTAACCCTCCAACCCTGAAACCCAATGGCCCGAAACTATACGGTACCTCTATACGGTACCTCTATGGGTGAATCCGAAAATGCTGTTGGCCCGAGGTTGGAACAGGACACGATATCGGTCAGCCATGTCTTCCATCCGATGTTGTACCTAGAGCCTAGAGGTACTACGGTACTAGAGGTACCTTACTTACGTCTTAAGAGGACCCTGACAGCTCCCCAGACGGGACGGGCCCGGGGGAGTCTTCGCTTCGGCCCGGTTCCACAGAGGGTCTAGGGACTTTTTATGTGTCCGATGAAGTGGAGCCTCCATTGCAACGCCCGGGCCTAGCGTTCGTTAGCTCTTGAGGTTGCATCTGTCAAGGTGTCACGCACAGTGATTTGCACTAGCTTGAATGCGGGCCGGCCCATTACTTTTATCCTTGTACATCAACTTTTCAGGTCACTCGGTTGTGAGGGTAGTAATCCCAAGTCCGAGCCTGTCATGTCAAGATTCAGATCTAGAGGTACAGTACTATGTAGGTCAAGTACCTACCCAATTCGTAAAGGTGGTAACCAGGGCACCACTTGTTGAGTCCATTCGCCAAACTCTCATTGCCTACATCCACCTACTACCAGTAGCTCCTATTGACATATACACATTCGTTTCTTTCCTCCCTTCTCCCGCCTGTTACCTGCCTCCTCCATTCCTCCCGACCACCGTCTCTCACCTCTTGTCCAATTTTCTTTTCATGGTTTTTGAACCTCATCCTTTAGCATCACTATCACATTATGAAGGCATCCATTACTCTCGTCATTGCAACTCTCGCCCGCCAAGTCGTTTGCGATCCGCCGGGCCAGACCACAGATATACGGCAGCCGGCGGACTGCAGCGACTGGTACGACAACGTCTACGGCAAATCGTGCGAGTACATCCGGGATGTTGGGTTTTAAAGTTCCTCCCGAGCTGTTCAACGAATGGAACCCATCGGTCGGCGTCGACTGCTCCAACTGGTACACGTGGATGTCCTACTGCGTCCAAACCTGGTCGAGATGGAGCAGCATGAAGAGTCGGTACGAGGCCACAGCCAGCATGTCCACAACTGCATCCGCGCCCGCGACCACTACCACCACCACTTCCAGTTTGGCGCCTTCCCCGACTGCGTGGGAAGAAGCGGGCTGTTTCGTTGAACACACCGATGAGCCATATATCCTCCAGCAGAACTTGACCCCGGCCGCCGGGGGTGATGCGCACCTATCTATCTCCAAGTGCAAGAACTCTTGCTCTCGCCGCTCTTATCCCTTCGCCGGCGTCAAGGAAGGCAACCAGTGCTGGTGCGGCACCCATGTTCTCGGGACATTCTCGCGAAATGAGACAAGAGATTGCAACGTGCCCTGTAGCGGAGACTCAACCGCCATATGTGGCGGGAACGGGTTCATCAATATTTTCAGGACCGAGTACGAGGATGGCGTCGTGTTGGAACCACAACCACTACCGCAAATTACTTCTTCCACCAGCACCAGCACCCTCAGTAACGTCGGTACGAGCACAAGCACCAGCACCAGCAACTTTAGCACCGCCACCCAAAGCAGCGGCGGCGTCAGCGCCCGGCGATGGAAATAAGCTACTCAACTCCCCTGGACTCTTCACTCAACAAACCTGAGGCTCCCTCCAATTTGGAAGGAGTTACGTTGATGAGTCTCCACCACTGCCAGCGCGGTCCAGAACGCCGAGACACGTTTGGCTCTACGATTATCATGACAAGCTTGGGAGTCGGTGACTTCATCACGACATTCACTTGGTTCCAGATCGAAATGACCTGCAATTGACGCTAAAGCATCCAATCGGGCAAGCATGTATCCAGGCAGACATGGGTAACTGGATGAAGGACGGGAAAACAGGACATTGGGTACCTAACAAAATGATATGAGGCTTATACATATATCTCCACCTCTCCGTTCAGTGTTCTTTGAAATCAGTCGCTGTCAGGCTACGAAACACTGAAATGACAGCAAGCTGAAGGCAATAATCATGTTCTGAAGTCCACATATATCTTGTCATCCAAACATTATAGGCACATGTTTCTTTTCCAAACTCATCATGTAACTATTTCGCCTTGACAATTCAAATCAAGCTTATACACTAGGTAATTCTCATTCACAAGTTCGCAGGTTGGAGGAATCCCGTCCTAACCCGTAGAAGTCGCCCAACGACACGTGATTCTCCCTTGATGTCCGGTCCGAGGCTGGAACAAATTGTTATGGCACTCGGCACGGAGAGAAAACTAAGCGAAAAGACTAGACCAAAGACTTTTCATTGCAATTTTCCATCCTTGCCTTTCCTGCTCGCTTGAAATGATTACATTACTGTGACGAACCGTTACAAGCACAGGAGTATTATCGCTGGGATAGAACAATAGAGTAACAGTGTAGTAGCCAAAAGGTACTGGTAGATTGTGATAGCTATTGCTTGCTGAAGAACCGGTAACAAGAGGCCGGGGAAGGCCTTCTTTTATACCGGTCTTCATGGACCCGATATACTGGACCCGTGGACCCGGGCTTAGGACCCGGGACTTCGGGTCCTCCCTTCGGGTCCGATCTGATTGGTCGGCTAGTCTAGTCTCCATGATTGGATCGTAACATGCAGCTTCGATATCGTGAAACAGAGCTACCACAATGTCAATGGCCGAACGCTTTGGGAGGGCACCAGCCTGCTGGGAATTTAAGACCCCGTTAGAAATAGCCGTCCAAGCGATCCTCCTGCCAATAAGGCGTTCAATGCCTTTCCAAGGCAGGACAGGAGTGAGATGGGCCGCCATCCCTTGGCCGTAGTTTGGTCCTTGCCAGCTTTTGGTATCATAGCCACTTCCGCCCGTCGAAAGACTTGGGGGTGGTAGCCGGTAGCGACGCAGCCCTGATAGAGCCGTTGGACAGAGTCTTTAATGGATTCCCAGGATGCTTTCAACATACGGACCGTAATGCCGTCGGAGCTGGGGGACGTATTGCCAGTACCGCAGAGGGTTTTGTAGACTTCGTCCGCATGGACGACGGACGACCAGGATAGGCAACGGCGTGGTACCGTGGGTACCCAGCCAGTTTCGAGATCTTCCTCTTCGCTGTTTCTTTCTAGAAGGGCCGTACGGAGTGCCTCCGCCTTGGCTTCTGGCTCAATGATGGTCTGCCCATTGATAACTAGCGGTGGAGCCTCCATTTGGTCACGGGGCTTGTGCCACGCCACGATCCGAAAGATGTCCTGGTCATTTCGCGCCTTTGTAATGAAGTCGTCGACGAACAGCTGCTTTGCTTCTCTGACTACCCTTTTAAACTCTTGCCGAAGAGCTTCTACCCGTTGGGGGATGGGATTCGGGTTGTTGTGCCGATAGTTGCGGAACATTCTAGAGGCCTGTGCACACGTCTTGTTCCACCACTTTGCGTTCTTCTCAGGTCTCGAGGGCCTGCAAGAAATTTGGAGGGCCTCTGTAAGGACGTTGCAGAGGGCCTCGGCGAGCTCGTCGAGCCTTTCCGGGGAGTCCTCGCCTGTAGGGAGGAGCGGGACCGAACCCATGAGAAATGAGACGTTTTCAGCATACAGTCTAATAGCCTCTGGGTCTTCGCGAAGGACCAGTCGACGGCGAGGGAGTTCTACCGGGTGTGTAGGGATGTCCGTAATGCAGACTTGGTGGTCTGAGCCGCAGTCCGCCTCTGGAGCAATCCTTGTCGAGCAGAGTGGTATGTTCGAAAAGGTGAGGTCGATGGTATTACCACAGTTGTGGGTAGGGACGCCAGGTGCCGTCAGCAAGTCGAGGCTATGCTCTGTAACATAGTCGATAATTCGCGTTGCACCTTCTGATGTTTCCGCTCCGGGTTGCCAGGTGTGGTGTTTGGCATTGAAGTCACCAGCGAGGAGTGTCTTTGTCGTTGGTTGCCAGTTCTGCAGGAGCTCGAGGGCTGATGCATCATTTGACCGGCGGTAAATATTAACGAAAGTGACACCCTGCGTCTTTACCCATAGTAGATCTCTGGTATCGCCGAGTGTGTACCCTCCTGCTGCCATTCCGTTACGAACGTACGTAGCGACGCGTGGGTGAGTAGCAGCGTCTTCTATCCATGTGCGGGCAGGAGTGTAAAGAGCGTAAAGGGGGTGCCCGGGAATACCGCAGCGGTCCTCGTAGAACCATGTTCGTGGCTCCTGGATCATAATCACGTCCGCTCCAGCCTCACTAGCAGCTTGGAGGGCAATCTCGTGCGTGTCGCGTGCTCGTGCTACGTTAGCCTGAAACACGCGTATTCTAGGATTGTTCAGGCTATCACGAGAGGGGGTCGGGTGTCCACTCATTGACCAGCGGCCCTCTTGGAGGGCGTTTTGTGGCGGCTAGAGTGACGGATTGCGTCGTCGGAGGACGTGTAGTCGCTCAGCTGGACCACGATCGTATCCTCGTCAGGGCTGTCCGAGTTCTCCGGGCCGGAGGGTGCAAAGCTGTGGCTGGGCAGCTCGTCGGAAGACATGGCGGTATCTTCCTCACTGTCACGAGGTGCAGGACGGTCATACTTCTTGCTGGAAAGCATGCCACCGTTGCGACGAATGTCGCTGCGTTGTTGGGGGGTCGGGCGGATGACAGTATCTCCCTGGCGTTTTGGTCGCATAGGGCAACCGTCGTGGGTAGACTCGAAGGGGCCTCGGCAGTTGGCACACTGAGTGTGGCGGTCACACTCGCCATGAGCAGCCTGTCCACATTGGAAGCATCGCGCAACACGGGGGCACGCCTTGCGGCCGTGCCATTCTAGGCATTTGGCGCACTGGTCGAGTGGGCGCCTCTTTTGGACGAGGCGGCTGACGTTGCTGTCGTCGAAGAGGCGAAAGGAAGACACAGGCTTTTCGAAGGAGATCAGCCAGGTTGTAAAGGCCTCGCCAGGACGGTAGTGCTGGGAGGGGCGGAGGGCGACGGCCTTCTGGCCGGTTTGGACGAAGACTTCCTCCTCGATGGCGGCCGTAGTGTCTACGGGGGCCATACCCAGACGCATCGTCATGGGCACGTTCTGGACGGCATATGTGGCCCATTTCTTAGGTACTTCGACCTGGACACAGCCGAAATGGGCTCCAATCTCATCCTTTCGGGCAAGGAGGGTCTGGCGAGCTCCATCGTTCTTAGGCACAAGGGCGAATCCGGTAGGGACCTTGTGGCATCCGGCAATGTCGGTGGAGGGGAGGCGGAGGAGTTTCGTCACTTCTTGGCGAATGGCGAAGGTCTCCGTGTCCCCATAGGGGGAATGCTTGTCGAGCCGTAGGAAGACACGGCCTTCGCTCTGGGGCGACGTGGGAGTCGGAGTAGCCTTGCGGGTAAGTCCGGAGGTGTGGGGGGTAGCGCGGGAAGCGGAGGCGGAGGCGGAGGCGGAGTTTGAGCCTTTGGCTATCTCCGCGAATGTGGCGGGTCTTTTTCCCCTGACTGCTGGGGAAATGGAGTCCGGGGTAGGCGAGGCTGTTCCCGGGGTGGCCTCCAATGCGGCGGTGATGGTCCGTGCGAGGCTTTGGACTTCGCGGGCGTGGGCTGGAGATATGACCGAGACGCGGGCGAGTTCGGTGTCAATGAAGGTAGCAAAGGTCCGGTAGACCTCGGTTTTGGCAATGGTAGCGGAGATGACGTTTCTCGTGGTGGACGAGATGTGTTCGATGGGGTTGGCAGTGGCGGTGAAGTGGGCATGACGGTCTTCCTCGTTTGCAGTCCGGGCTCTTTTGGCCGGCTGCGCCGTCGTGTGGGGTAGAGCCGGGACGCAAATCGTGTCCGGCATAGGGGTGACCGGTATCATAACCGGCGGCGGTGTTTTGGGGGCCCCAGAGGGCGACGGCGTAGACATCTAGTCGTGACAGTTGTTGTAAATTTGACCGTAAAAACGGCAAATTTGTGGGAGTTAGTAGTTTT